CCTCCCTCCCTCCCGCCCGCAGCGGCCCAGGGCAAGGGCAGGACGCTTCACTTGGGACCTTCCCCAACCACCTCCGCCACGGGGACGTCCAAGAGGCTTCCACCGTGGGGAAGGAGCCGTCATGGGAGGGGTTGGGTCGGAAAGGGACCTTCGAAGACCGTCTAGACCCGCCTTCCCCCAGCCCAGGGGGCTCCCAGCCCCGTCCAACCTGGCCTTGAACCCCTGATGGGGCAGCCACAGCTTCTCTGGGCACCCTGGGCCAGCGCCTCACCAGCCCCCCGGATCATTCCCTTGCGTCCCTGGACCCACGCAAGCCACCGGCCAGGACAGCCGTGGGGCCAGCTCACCTGGGGGTCCACCAGCCAGCCGTGGTAGAGCGGGACGTTGAGGAGGTCGAAGACGATGCACTCGGGCGTGTACTCGAAGTCCGAGACACCCGTGAACCGCACGTTGACGTCCAGCCCCGTGGAGAGCTTGGGGAGGACCATCATGGTGTCGTTGATGTTCTGGGTGGGGAAGAAACAAGGTGGGGCCTGACTGGGGAGTGGGCTGGCACCCCAAATCTTGCAACCTAAGGCCACCGGTGCTCCCTGAGATGGGGCGGGGGGGTCAATTTTTGGGCTGGGTGACAGGCGGCCTCGCTCCTCACCTGCTGGAAGTTGAGCTGCAGCCCCTCTGACGGCTCCCGGGGTTGGGTGGACAAGATGCAATCCCCTGCGAGGCAGCGCCGGTCAGCCCCCAGCGAGCCCACGCCCCGCGGCACGCCGCCCTCCCGGCAGTGGGGTGGGGGGCTGACGGGGGCCCCGGGGACCTCACCCAAATGTGCCATCAGCTCCTCGGATGTGATCACCTCCTTCTGCGGGGGCAGCTTCACCTGGAAGCACCGAGAGGCTGGGGACCAGCCCCCGGCTCCTTCCCCTTGCCATGTGGGGGGAGCCGAGCCCGATCCCCCCCTCACCAGCCCCCCCAAATCCCTCCCCCCAGCACCCTGCTTGCCTTCCACTGCAAGAAGAGGATGTTCATGATGGCCAGGAGCGGGCAGGGTCCGTTCTCGCTCTGCGTGATGACGGGCGTCCGCTCGCCTTTCCAGCTGATCCACTTCACGCAATAAAAATCCGCCTCCGCTTCCCGAGTGGGGGTCCGGGCTCGGGGGGGCTCAGCCGGTAACCCCACCGCCCCGGCACCCAGGCTGGGCAGGGGGGCACCCAGCGGGGACCCCCTGCTTTCCTGGGGCTGTTTCTCCCCAGCATCTTCCCTGGGATGCTCATCGGAGGGAAGGTGCGGGGCGCAGCCCGGCTGCCCCACGCCAGGGCTGGGAGCCACGTCCTCCTCTGCGCCGCGTGGCTCGGCCGGTGCCGGGCTCTCCCGGCCACCAGCCGGCATTTCATCCCCACCGACGGCCTCCTCCGGGACCTGGCGGGTCCCTTCGGCGCTGGAGGGGGCCGGGACCGTCCCTCCTTGCTTGGGCGGCTGCTCCATCGAGACCCTCACCGTGGCGTCCTGCCTCAGGCGGGTCCGGATCAGGCCCCTGGGGACGCTCCGGGTCCGTCCAGGAACAGCCGCATCCCAAACCTCTCCCTCAGAAGGTAAAACTTGGGTATTTCAAGAAAAAACACATATATTAGTCCAATATATTTACCAGGTATGGCTTGTTTAGCTTAGATTTTTTTTCTCCCCCATTCCTTTACATTCATTTAAATAATGAAAAATAAAACGTTGGCCGCGCACGCTTCTAAATCACCGTTAAAAAACTTAATGCCATGGATACGTGTGGATTTTATCTGCCTCCCGTTTGCACAGAAAGAGGGAAAAAACCCCCAAACCAACCTAGGAGGAATTGAGTTTGATGGAGCCAAAGCAGCGTCAGGGAGAGGTCAGTCCTGTGTTTTCCTGCAAACTCGGCCCGGCAAAGATGCTCCTGCAAAGAGATTTGGAAATCTGGCTTTGGAGTACTCAAGAGAATTGAGAAGTTTGGCTTTGAAACACTCAAGAGATTTGGAAAATTTGCCTTTGAAATAGTCAGGCAAATGGGTAAATTTGGCTTTGAAACCCTCTGCGCAGGCAGGAGCGCGGCCGCTCCGCCCTGGCCGGGTGTCCCACCCTGTCCCCCCGGTGCCCCCCGGGACGTCTCACCCCCAAAGCCCCCGGGGACCCCGGCGTTCCCTGCTCGGAGAGGGGTGATGGCAACAACGGCGATAAGCAGTGATGAAAATGCCTGGGGAGGGTGGAAACTGGGGAAAAAAGGGAGTTTTTTGGGCAGGTGGTGAAAGCCTGGGAGAAAATCAAGGGGGTTGGTGCCCTCTGAGCCATTCTCGTCTCTTTTAGAGCCAGAGCAGAAGGGTCTTGGGGGAAAGAAAAGGAAGGGGATGGTGGCCAATGCTCAACATCTGTTTATTTATTATTAATAATTAATATTAATTTTAATATAAAGTAATAAAGTGCAGCGAAAACAGAGAAATAAATAAGTAAATAAATATTCTCGATAAATAAATAGACATATAGGTAAATAAATAGTTATATAGATAAATAAATAGTAAGCAAACAAATATTCTTGATAGGTAGATAAGTGGATAGATAAATCAATATTCTTAATAAATCCCTAAATAAGTAATCTCTATAAATAAAGGGCATAGAAAGAAATAAACAAATGTTCTCGATAGATGAATAGATGTGTAGGTAAGGAAAGAAATACGAAGTATTACTAACTAAAACAAATAATAAATATTTTTGATAGATAAGTAGGTGGGCAAGCAGTCTTAAAACCTGAGTTTGTACCTAAGTGTTCTGAATGCATAAAAAATAAATCAAATCAGATGAAATCTCTTCAGCAGCAGGACTGCCCAGCGGCCGGCGGCGTGCCTGCGGAGGGGCGGGCGCTGCCCCCCCGCCCGGGGCCGGACCCGCCGCACCGGTCGCGCCCGCCGAGACGCCGGGAGCCGGAAAAACCGGCCGGGGGCGGCAGCTCCGGCGCTGGGCAGCGGGCACCGGGCTGGGCCGGGGCCGGGGGGGGGCTCCGGGGGCCGCCCTGCCTCAGTTTCCCCAGCCGGCAGCAGGGGCGGCCGCAGCATCCTGGGGCGACCACCCCAGGCACCCCCAGCCCACCCCAACATCCCACCTCACCCCAACCCGCCGCGGGGCAGGGGGGCACCCCCAAAGCCCCCGCCCCGCTCTTACTTTGCAGCCGTTTCGCTGCTGTCGTTTCTCCACTCCTTCCTTCTTTTCCTCCTTTTTTCCTCCTTCTTTCTTCTTTTGCCTTCTTTTTTCTCCCTTTTCCTTTTTTTTCCTTCTTTATTCCTTCTTTTCCCCTCCTTTTTTTCTTATTTATTTTTCCTTCTTTCGGCTTTTTCCTCCTTTTTCCCTCTTTATTCTCCCTTTTTTCCTTCTTTATCTTCCTTTCCCCTTCTTTTATCCTCCCTTTTCCTCCTTTCCTCCTCCTTTTTCCCTTCTTTTTTCCTCGCTATGCCTCCTTGTTACTCCTCTGAGTTTCCTCCTTCCCCCCCTTTTCTCCTCCTTTTTCCCTAATTTTTTTTCCTCCTTATGCCCCCTGTTCACCCCTCTCCGTCCCTTTTTTGCTGCTTTTCCCCCGCCGTCCCCGCGGCAGGCCGGGGCCTGCTCCCCGCCGCCAGCCCACGCTCGGGCTCTGCGGGGAAGGCGGATTCACGGCGGAGGAGGAGGAGGAGGAGGAGGAGGAGGAGGGGCAGGCGGGGTGGAGAGTGAAGGCAGCGGCCGCGCCGCGCTGGCGGTTCCCTCCGCCCGCACCCGAAATCAACCGATTTTCCGGTTTCTTCCCCCGTTTCGAGGCCCGGTGCTGGGCCGCAGTGGAGGGGGGGGGGGGGGGGGGCGGTGGGTGCCCCCCGATTTCAGCCGCCGGCGGGTCTGGGGCTCAGGCCACAGCCACAAGGCGGGGGGGGGGGGGTCAACCCCTCACCGGTTACTGGTCACCAGTAACTAGTTACTGGTTGGGATGGGGGGACGCCATCCTGCGGTGTAATAAAGCCGGGGGGGGGGGCACGGCCTGTCTGGAGGGTTCCGGGGGGGCCGGGCCGGGCCGGTGGGGGGGTGGCTGGGGGATTTAGGGGTGCCAGGGGGGTGTGGGGAGGGTTGGGGAGGTTGAGGACCCAAGGAGGGTTTGGAGAGGTTGGGGTGTCAGGGGGGGTAGGGGGGGTTTGGGGGGGTCGGCAGGGGGTTAAAGGAGGTCGTGGGGGGGTGGGAGTGTCGGGGGGGGTTGGGGTGCAAATAGGGTTGGGGGGTGTTAGGGGGATTTGGGGTGTCAAAAGAGTTTCAGGTGCCGCGGGGGGGGGGGTGAAGGGGTGTCAGGAGGGTTTGGGGGTGTCGGGGGGGGCGGTGTCACCCCCCACCATCACCCACCGCCCACCCCCCCTCAGCCCCGCCCGCGCGGGCTGCCGGGAAGGGGGCGGGGGCAGAGCGGGGGAGGACACGCCCCTTGTTAGCCACGCCCTCCCCCTTCCCGACAGCCCGCGCGGGAGGCCACGCCCCGATGCTGAGGAGGGGCGGGGGGGTGGGGTGGGGGCTGCTGGGCCGTGCCGGGCGGTACCGGGCCGTACGGGGCCGTACCGGGCCGTACGGGGCCGTGCCGGGCGGTACGGGGCCGGGCGGGGCCGGGCGGGTTGGGGCGCGGATCGCCGCCGCTATGGAGCGGTTCGTGGAGGGGAACCGGGCGGCTCTGCAGGTAGCGGTGCCGGGGGGCGAGGGGGGCACTGGGCGCTCAGGGAGGGGGTTGCAGGGGGCTCAGGGTGCCCCAGAGATGAGGGTGCAGGGAGGACTGCAGGCTGGGTGTCCAGGGGTTTGGGGTGCCCAGGAAAACAGGGTGCAGCTGGGTACCCGGTGGAGCAGGGTGCATGGAGACTGGGGTGCGGAGGGTTTGGGGTGCATGGGTGCCCAGGGGAGTGGGGTGCAGGGGGGAGCAGGGTGCACGGGGGGCTTGGGGTGCACGGGGTCTGGGTGCCCAGGAGAGCAGGGTACAGGGGGGAAAGGGGGTGCCCAGGGGAAGTGGGGTGCCTGAGGACTGGGGTGCACAGAGGATCAAGGCCCCCGAGCGGGGTGTCCCCGTCCCCCCTGGAGCGGGGCCGGTTCTGTGCTGCCCCTCGGCCCCACGACAGCCCAGGCTGGGGTGCCACCGCTGCACCAGGGACACCCCCAAACCGCTTCCACGGCCAGGGGCTCCCCAGCACCCCCCCAGCCCTGCAGCCTCTTCCCCCGGCTCGCAGCACAGGGGTGCAGGTCCCCAACCCGTGGCGGGGTTCATGCCGCCACCGGCGCTCGGTTGTTTACTTCCTCGGCTGGTACCGAATAAATGAGCGAATCTGGGTTATGGCATGAAATAATTGTCACCAAAAAAGGGCCTGGAGACACGGCGGCTCCCTCGAGCGGAACGGGACGGGCGCCAGCAGCGGGGGACGGGGGACCGCTGGGGTGACATGGGTGACATTTTTTTCTTGTTACCGCGGGGAAGGAAAAAAGGGGTGAAATGTAGCGGGTTTTGGGGGTAGTCAGCCCCAAACTGCCTCTGTGGGCGCTTTGATCTGGGGTTTAAATGCCAAAAGCTCCCGGGGCCATGACGGCATCCTCCAGGGCAGGGAGGTCCCTGTCCCCACTGCCGTGGTCACTCGTGGACGAGCTGGGTTTTTTCCTTTGCTCCCCGGGGCCCCAGTGTGCCCGTTTTCGTGCATGTGCCCCCAAAACGTGAGGCTTTTATGCCAGAAATGGATCCCGACCAGGTCTCGTCCCGAGGGCGCCGGCCCAGTCGGCGTTTCGGGGATGCCAGGAGTCCGTCCGCTGCCGGTGGCGGCTGGGAGACGGGTGACATCCACGACAAGTGGCTCCGGGGACACTGGCGTGTCCCCCTCAAGGGCAGGGAAGGGGAAGGGACTGGCTTGGGGGTCTTTGGGGGACAGGGACACGTCGCTGCCATGCCTGATGCCTCCTGCCCCGGCAGGAGCACGTCCGGCGTCACCGGGAGATCCACGTGGTGATGGGCAACGAGGCCTGTGACCTGGACTCCACCGTCTCGGCCCTGGCCCTGGCGTATTTCCTGGCGAAGGTGAGGCTCGCCCGCTGGCTCGGGGACAAATGGTGGCTTGGGGGGACGCCTCGCCGGGTGTCACACCCCCCCCACCCCGCCCCGCCGCAGACCTCCCCGGCTCCCCAAGCCGCCTTCATCCCGGTGCTGAACATCCCTCGCGCCGACTTCGCCCTCCGGTCAGAGACGACGTTCCTGCTGCGGGAGCAGGGCATCCCCACCGCCCCCCTCATCTTTCGGGATGAGATCGACCTGGGGGGGCTGCACCGCGCCGGGCTGCTCTCCCTGACGCTAGTCGATCACCACGTCCTGCCCGGGTGAGCCGGGGCTGGGGGGACACGGGGACAACCAGAGCCACCCCCCCCCCGAAGCCTCGCTTTGTTCCTCGCTTGATTTTGGCGGAGGGTGGGTAAAACTGTTCCATTTCCGGGGTGTTTTTAGGGGAGGAGAAGAGGAACAAAGTGGGTTTCCAGGCTCTGCTGGGGTGCCGGGGCTGTGGCGGGGGTCTCACCCTCCCCATCTCGCCCGCCAGCGCTGACGCCGCCCTGGAAGAGGCCGTGGTGGAGGTCCTCGATCACCGGCCGTTGGAACGGGACCGAGCCCCCGGCTGCCAGGTGACAGCAGAGCCGGTGGGCTCCTGCGCCACGCTGGTGACGGAACGGATCGCCCAAGGTCCCCCGGGCGTGCTGGACAGACCCACGGCCGCGCTGCTGCACGGTGAGGACGGGGCGGCCCCTCGCTGAGCCCCATCCGAGGGGGTACACTGACGACATGACGGCCCCCGGTTGTGTGTCCCCCCCCTCCCCGTCCCTGCCAGGCACCATCTTGCTGGACTGTGTGAACCTGAGCCCGGCCGCCGGCAAGGTGACGCCCCGCGACGTGGCGTGCGTCTCCCTGCTCGAGGCGAGGTTCCCCGAGCTCCCGCCCCGCGACACCGTCTTCGAGGCCCTGCAAGCGGCCAAGTTTGACGTCTCAGGTCTGTGCGCCAGGGTGGTGGCATCCAGGGTCTGTCTGGGAGCGGGTCCTGGGACAGACCCCTCTGCTTGGGGACAAGGGCGCGTCCCCGGGGCTCACGCTCGGCCCCTCTCGTCTTGCAGGGCTGACGACGGAGCAGATGCTGCGGAAGGACCTCAAAGTCCTCTCCGGCGATGAGCTGCTCCTCGCCGTCAGCGCCATCTACGTGGACCTGGAGGTGAGGCTCAACCCAGGGCGAGGGGAAACTGAGGCAGGGGGGTGGCACGATGGGGACAGCGGGGTGACGCCAGCGTCTCTCCCCCTCCAGACCTTCCTGCGCTGGCCCGGCTTGCTGCAGGACCTGGATGCTTTCTGCCAGGCTCGGGGCTACGCGGGGCTGGTGGCCATGACGATCTCTTTTAACGAGCGCAACGAGCCCTCCCGGCAGCTCGCGGTCTACAGCCGGCGCGAGACCCTCCGCAGCGCGGTGAGTGGGGCCGGGGGTGGGGGGCCGGGCCCCCCAGTCCCTCAGCACAAGGGGGTGGGGTAGGAGCCAGGCAGTTCTCAGCTGCGGTTTGCCCCCACACCCCCTGATTTTGAGGGGTGCTGGTGGGGGGGTCCTGGCCACGACGCTCCCTCCCTTACAGGTGTGCCGGGCGCTGGAGGAGGCGACGACACCGGCCCTGCAGCTCCAGCCCCTGCCGAGCCCCTGGCCCTGCCTGGGCGCCTACACCCAGGGCGACGTTTCAGCGTCACGGAAGAAGGTGCTGCCCATCCTACGGGCAGCCCTGGGGGGGCCGGGCGCTGCCGGGGGGCCGGAGGAGGAGGTGGTCCCGCCACCCACCCCGATGAACAGCCTGGTGGAGGACTGTCCGCTGGCACAGGCCGTGCCCCCCCTCTGCCCCCAGGATGTCCTGGAGCGGGTCAGCCGCATCGCCGCCGGGCAGCCCCCCGCCTCCCCAAAATAAGAGCGGGCACCCGGCGGCTTTTTGGGGGGGGGGGGGGGGCCGTACAAGGAGGTGGGGTCCCCGGGCAGGTCTCGGTGGGGTGCCCGGGCGCGGGGGGGTTGCATTAGAGCTCGGCTCCCTGGCGGGGATGGGTCCTCGCTGCGATTTGCTCCCACCAGCGAGAGGCTCCCCCCGTCCCAAGGGCGCTGCTGGGGTTTGGTCCCCCAGGGTGGGTTTTCGGGGACCCCGTGGGCCAGGGCAGCACTTGCACCCACTTAACGAAGGCGCTGGGAGAGTTAATGAGTTTTTGCCATTCTTCCTCCCCTGGGGGGGGTTCGGGGGGGCCACAGATGGCAGGTCCAGATGCGCACCAGCCCAGGACTGTCACCCATGTACTCCGAGAATTAAATTTCCCTTTTCTTCCACTTTTGGCTCTCGGCTTTTCTTTTGCGACCAATCTCATGCTGCCCCACTCGCCCTGGGGGTGCCCACCATGGCCCCCCACCCTCCCTTTGGGCATCCTGGGGGGTGAACCCCCTCTTTTCCTGGGGTGCAAACCTCTCCTGCCAAGCCATAGGAGCATTTTGTGGCCCTGTAGCGCGGGGGGGGGGGGGTGCTCAGTGCAGCTGAACCCCCAAATCCAGCCCAGCCGGGAGGAAACAGGTTGTGCTGTGAGGAGCCGTGGCATCTGCCAGCTGCAAATGCAGCCAAACCGGTTCGGATGAGCCACCAGTGCCACCAGTGGAGCCCTTCACCAGTGGGGAACCACAGAGGTGAGCAGCCCTGGTGCTGGGAGTCCCTGAGGTCTCGTAGAGGGTTGAGCGGGGCTGTGATGGGGGTCCCTGAGGAGTGTCCGCACTACGCCCCTGCAGCCGAGCGCTCCCCATTTGCAACTGGTTTTGGTTTGGAAATAGGGCGGGAAAGGTGGGAAATGGAGGCAGTTTGGTGTGGAGCTACTGGGAGATGTGAGAGCCCTGAGGGGGCTGGTCCCCAAGCCAGGGCTGGTGTCTCTCTGCAAGTGACAGTGACAAGGATGGCTGTGGGGACAGCCTGGACCTGAGCGAGGAGTGGCAGGACGAGGACTTCCCCAGGTAAGGGGGCGAGGGGAGCAGCACCCCCAAACCTGCTCCTTCCCCACCCCCGGGGGTCCCGCTGACCCCCCCAGGCCCCTGCCAGAGGGGTTGCCAGGGGTGCCCCGTGGCACATGGGGAGGTGGCTGCCGGTGCTGGAACGGAGTGAGAGCAGGGTGGACGTGCTGGAGACACCCTCGGGCAGAGACGGCTTCAAGTGAGAGGGTGAGACCTGGCCGGGGTGGGGGTGTGGGGGGACCCCCAGGTTCCTGCCCTGGTGCCGCGCTAACCGGCCACCTGCCGAGGAGCTGCCGCACGCCTGTGGCTTTGCCAAGGGGGCTGGCGGCCGGCGGGTGCTGGACATGGAGGATGGCGTGGATCTGAGCACGGTGGAGCCCTACAGCCAGGTCCTCTCCCACGGGGGTAATGTGAGGCTGGGTTCGAAGGGGGGGACACTCCTGGGTCCCCTCACTGAGCCCGGTGGGTCTGGGAGGGACGGTTGGCACTGGCTGTGCCACCCTCCGCTCTGGCCAGGGTACCACGGCAGGGGCTTCAGCGCCATCCTGCTCTTTGCCGCCTGCTGCCTCCCGCACGGGAGCATCCCGCAGTACAGCTACGTGATGGAGAACCTGCTCAGGTCCTCCCCACATGCCCCGTGCCTCAGTTTCCCCAAGCTGATGGGCCGCGCCGTCCCTCCAGGTACATCATGGGCACCCTGGAGAGGACGGTGGCCAACTGCTACGTCCTGGTGTGCCTGAGTGGGGCGGCAGCGCGGGGACAGATCCCCTCCTTCGGCTGGATGGAACGGTGCTACCGAGCTGGGATGGCAGCCGGGATGTGACGCGGTGACGGGGACAAGCGGTGGCATCGGGGGCTCTTGGTGTGCCCAAAGCAGTCCCCAAGCACCCACGGGTGAATAAAGGATGTGGAGGGGAGTGCGGTGCCCAGCGTCTGTGGGGGAGGTCTCGGCTTTTTCTGTCAAATTTGGCAGCACCGGTAGCAGAGGAGGGAGGCGAGGAGCCCCGGGCAGACGCTCCTCAGGCAGCACAAGGGTTTTATTTCAAGGAGGGGGGGGTGGTGTGTTTTTCCCGGAGGAGGGAAAACCGAATCAAGCACCGGCGCTTGCTTCCCAACGCCGAGCGTGCCGGGGGGCTGGCAAAGCCCGGCTCCACGCAGGAGCATCTCGGCGTGGCATGGAGCGTGGCACAGGGGGAAGCCTCTGCCAGCTGGCAGTGACGCCCGGCACGTGCTATTTAATATTTAATCCCGGTGCTATTTAAACTATATACACCCGCGCCCGAAATCGGGAGCCCGAGTCCCCTCTCAGGTCGGGCCCCGTCCTGCCTCAGCCGGTGCCGGTGAAACCCTGGTGGTGATCCCGGGTGGAGGTAGTCCCACCACGGTCCTGTCTCCGAGGCGGCGGAGGCTGCCTAGTTGTTTTTTTCTGAGCTTAAAAAAAAAAAAAAAAAAAAAAAAAAAAGAAATCCTAAAAAAGAAGGGAGGTGGCAGTTTTCCGGCAGTGGAAATGCCGACTGGAGGCACCGCGGGCTCGCTGATGGTGTCGGCGTTGAGCCGCTGCTGGTGAGATACTGAAGCGTCGGGGTTTAATCCCGGTTTTGCACCAAAGCGTCAGGGTTTAATCCTGGGTTTGCTCTTCTATGCCTTTCTGGGAGGGCACCAAATCAGCCTCTGCACCAGGACTGGCCTCGCTGTGCTTCCCCAGGGAAACTGAGGCACCGCGGCCTGGTGCCGAGAGGGGCCCAGGGGAGACACCAGTGTGGAAAAAGGGAAAACCGGGAGGATTTGGCACATTTCGTCTGAGCCCGGCAGCTCCTGGCGCACTTCGGGAGGGGAGTTGTGTCCTTTCGGCTGAAATGCTGGTTGGGCATGAGGTGGGGGCTGCCGTCCCCGCTCCCTCCCCGCGTCACCGACCCGATGCCTCCAGGAAGGAGGGATTTGCCAGGGGGACGACAACCAAAAGTCACCGGGAGCCGGGTGAGGATCGCTCTGCATAAATTACCGCGGGGTTAAAGCGCTCGAGGTCGGCTTCTCCTCCGGTTGGGGGATCAGGCAGTTCAAGTTTGGGCTGAAAAAGCCAGGAATCTGCAAAGTCCAAGAGGCTGGGTTATGGAACCGAACTCGTTTGGGTGTGTTAATTAGCAGTGGTGCCCCGGAGGGGGACAGCGGGTGCTCAGGGCTGCCACAGCCGCCCCCACGGCCGTGTACTCACACGCTACAAGACCCGGGAGTTGCTCCACTGTCGCTCCCGTCCACCCTTGGACCTCATCTCCTGGACGGCGCCGGTCTGGGGGGAGGGTGCAGAGGTGTGTCACCACCACTGTGAGACCCCTCACCCAATTCTGCTGTCCCGTCACCCAAGCATAGGACCTGGCACCCAAACATGAGGCCGCTTCACCCCACTCTGAGACCCATCAGCCAACTGTGAGACCCTACCAGCCCAGTGGGGACACCCATCAGCCAACTGTGAGACCCACCACCCCAGCATTGAGACCCAGCACCCCTAAAGCAACACCCATTACCCAACCGTGAGACTCTACCGCCCCAATATTGACACCCATCAGCCAACCATGAGACTCAGCGCCCCAAAAGCGACACCCATCGCCCAACGACGAGACTTGCCACCGCGACATTGTCACCCATCAGCCAACCATGAGACCCGCCACCCCAACCGTGCGCGTGGGTAGGGTACCATGGGCAGGCCTTCACCCGCAGCCATGTCACCAGAGCCGATGTGTGTCAGGTGGACGAAGTTCATGGGCTCCCCGATCATGGAGCGGTCGATCCGTCTCCTCCTCTTCTTCTGCAAGCAGATGAAGGCCATCAGCCCCCGTGGGGCCCATGGCCCCAGGACCCCAAACCCTCCCCAAACTGCTCGGGCTGAAGCTACTCACAGGCTGTGGCTTCTCTACAACGCAGCAGCCCAGCTTGTGCCAGAAGTCGCTCATATTCGCGGCGGCCAGCTTCCCTCCGTGCCAGGCCAGCTGCCAGGGGTGGGGGGCTGCGCCGGTGCAGAGACCCCCGTGCAGGGTCACTCCATGGGGACGGGTGGGGGGACCTGGTTGGGGTGGCACGGCGTGGAGAGGAGCAGCTGGCTGCGGGATTGAAGGGAGGGGTGATGCCTGCAGTCCTGCCTCCCCAAATCGATCCCAAATCCACTTCCCAAACAGAGCCAGAGACCCCCCAGAGACCCCGGGTGTCACACAGAGACCCCCAGGGACACCAGGTGTCACACACAGTCCACCTGGGGACCCCAGGCATCACACAGAGACCCTCAGGCACCCCAGGTGTTACACAGCCACCCAGAGGAATTGTCCCCATGGCCAGGGCAGGATCCAGCCCCGGCCCCTGCCCCGATGCAGGAGGTGTCTGAGGGATGCTGCGGCAGGATGGGGGGAACAGAGGCGGCCACGGCAAATCCCAACTCCCTGAGCCAGGCGGCTATAAATATCCCGGCCTTTCCGAAAAGGGGCCGGAGGTTGAGCTCTTCCGCTCCGGCTCAAAAAGCAGACGGGGGAAAAATAAACAGGGGCTCTGCCCGACCAGTGGGGCTCTGCCCCAAACCCCCACAGCCCTCGCTGGGGCAGCCAAGAGGGGTGTGGAAAGGGGGGTTCATCCCCAAAATGGGTGCTTCCCTCCCCACCCCAAAGAGAGACAACATTTTTGCTGCAAAAGCACCCGGCGGCGCAGACAAAACTCACCCACCCATGAAGGGCCGCGCCTGAGCACAACCCTATATCAGCTGCTGGAGAGTCCCCACATTGGCATGGGGGGCAGCTGGCAGCTGCACCGAGGCAAGGCCAAGTTTTGCCGGAGCGCGGGCGCAGTGGCAGACGGGTGCTGGACCCCACTGCGGCGGCAAACAGGAAAAGTCCCTTCCTCTGCCCCTGCGCCGGCAACGCCGGATGGGTCCAAAGTCCACGGCAGCCGGCCGGCGCTTCCTGCCCATGGCGGGGAGGAGCAGGGCCTGAAGCAGCTGGGTGTCGGGGCCGGCAGCCCCCCAAAATGGGGTGCTAACCCCCCGCCTTGGGTGCCCAGGGATGCTCCAACCCCACGGGGTTGCATCGCCTCGGTGCTGGCCTTGCCAGGGCCCGCGGGCAGGATCCGGCCCCAGGGTGACCCGGCTGCCCCCAGGAACGACCCCGCAGCCCATCCCCTTGGTGTCAGGGCACCGAGGGGGAGTGGGTGCCCAGCTGTGACCACTCCCCTCACATTGGCCCCATGTCCCAGTGGGGAAACTCGAGGTGCGACCGAAGGAGCCTGCCCGGACCGCCCCATGCCCCTCACCCATGCCCCTCACCGCTCAGGCCCCCAGCCCCCCCTCTGCGAGTGCAGCTGCTGAGAACGGGCAGGTTGTGACATGTCTGGGGTGGCGTAAGCCAGGGCCGTGCCCACGCCGGACCCGCACACCAGCACCCCCCAGCTAAACTTGGCCTCTCCCCGGGGCTGCGGACAGACAGACAGATGGACGGAGCGGGACAGGGGGGATGCCTTTTTTTTCTAACCCCATTTCCTTAGGAAATGAGGCTGCCGGAGCCGGCCCCCGCCATCATGCCCCAGCTCGCTGCCGGATCTGTCAGCACAGCGGAAACACCTTGGGGGGGATGGGGGGGGGGGTTACCCCCCAAAATTCAGCACTGCAACCAGTCCCCAGAGCTCTGGGAGAGCCTCCACAGGGAACCCCAGGAGCTGGCTCAGCCCCGTACAAGCCAGCAGCAAATCCCCATATGAACCCCAAGGGGTACAAGCCGCCGCGACCCCCCACTGAGACCCCTCCTTCCTGCCCCCCAAACCACCCCCCAGGCCTCACGTCCTCACACCCAGCGAAGGGCAATGGCTGGGGCTGGATCCGGCCGCTCTCCCGGTTCCAGGCAGTTGATGACAGTGGGTCCCGCAGGCCGCAGCTGCCCCAGTTCCACCCCCCCACCACCGTGGGGGTCCCACGTGCCCCCCTCACCCCTGCAATGAGTTGTGTCCAGTCTCAGCCTGCCTGGGCGCAGGGGCCCGGCCCCGCAGTGGCCCTGGGGAAGGCAGCTTACGGCCCAGCCTGTGCCGGCACACACAAAATGACTTCCCTGTTGGGAAACCACCGCTCGGCGGCTCTGCGTCACCGGCAGGGACCGGGGAGAGGAGTGAGGCTGTTCGGGGAGGGGGGCCCCATACCAGGCCCCCCAGCACTGGGGGTCACCCGCCCCAGGGGTGCCCGCTGGGGTCCCCCCAAGCTCGGAAGGGAGGGCAGTGTGCTGGGATGGGGTCGTTCTGGATGAGACCTGTGGGACCCCCCTGGCAGGGGGCCTGGGACCCCCAGGATGGGGTGGCAAAGTGGGGGCAGAACCCACTTTGCGTGGGATGGTCACAGCTACTACCAAGGGGGCACGGGGTGCCGGAAAGAGGCGGGGGGGGGGGGGGGGGGCGGAATCCGTGGGGATCAGTAAGGCTGGGGTGTCCTAGAACGGCTGGAGGTCCCGGGGGGTCACTCTAAGGCTGGGGGGTTTGCTGCACGGCTGGGGGGTCCCAGGAGGGCAGGGGACCCCAGGGGTCCTGGGGAGTCCTGCTGGGGCTGAGGGTGTCCAGGCAGGGCTGGGGGATCCCGGTAGGGCTGGGGGGTCCGGGTAGGGTTGGGGGGGTCTCGGCAGGGCTGGGGTACCCCGGGATCCTGGTAGGTTTGGGGGGGTCCTGGTAGCGTCTGGGGGGTCCCGGCAGGGCTGGGGGGGTCCCGGTAGGGTTGTGGGGGTCCCGGTAGGGTTGGGGGTCTCATCTCGGTTGGGGGTCCCGGCAGGACTCCCCGGTCCGGCCAGGGAGCTGCAAGGGGGGGTCTTCCCGCCGCCCCCCTCCCGTCCCGATGCCCTCCCCGCCTTCCCACGACGCTTTCGGGGGCCCTTCCGCGGGGTCGAACACCCCGAGGCCTTGCGGGGGGCAGCTGCGAGGGTTGGGGAGGGGGGTGGGGGGGAGTCGAGTCGTTCCCGTGCCCGGCGGCGGCCCCATTACCTGCCCCTGCGCAGAGTGTGGGTCCCGGTGCGGGTCCCGGTGCCGGTCCCGGTGCCGGTGCCCAGCTCAGAACGGGCAGGCGTGGCCCGGCGGGTGCGGGACGCGGGTCGGGCCGGCCCGGAGCACAGCTCCCACCCTGGACACCGCCGGCATTGCAGCGGCCGCGGCCGGGAGGGGGGGCCGGCGAGGGCGGGGGTCCCGGCGGGGGGGGCGGTTCTGGGGGTCCCGGTAGGGCTGGAGGGGGTCCCAGAAGGGCTGGGCCGTCCTGGGGCTAAACAGTGCTTGGGGGGCCGGGGGCCTTGATAGGGGTGCGGGTCACAGGGGCAGGGGTGCAGGAACTCCGCAATGTGGGGGGCCCCTGGAAGGGGTGGGCTTTCTGGGGGTCCCGGTGAGACTGGGGGTCCCTGGCAGGGCTGTGGGGGGGTCGGCACGGCCGGGGGTCCCCAGCTGAGGGGTCCAGGGGCTCAGTGCTGTTGGAGGACCCTACATGCTTCTGGGAGCCCTGGGGGGGTCCCAGGGGTCCTGGTAGGGCTGGGGGTGCCCAGCAAGACTGGGGGTCCCCACCAGGGCTCCCAAGCCTTATTCCCACTTTTTCCATGCATGTGCTAGAGAACCTCGGGGGACCGAAGCACCCGAAAGGGTGGGAACCCCCGGATCACCCCACAGCCGGTGTCGAGCAGCATTGCATCACTTCCAGCTCAGGGCCCTTCCGCTTGCACAACACCCGCCGCGGTCCCGCCGTTGTCACCATCACCACCACGGTCCTGCCACTGCCACCACCAAAATCCTGCAGCTCCAGCCACCAGCCCAGCCGGCCTGGGACCGCGGGAGTGTCCCTTCCTGTGGGTCCCCAGCCTGCTTGGAGGGACCCACGCAGGGGACTCCCCTGGGTGAGCCCCAGCATGTCCCTTCCCACGTCAGCCCCCAAATCCCGGCCATCCCCATCGCTCCCACTCCAGAAGTCCCGAACAAGGCGGCACTGTCCCCGCTCAGTCGGGTCTCTGTCCTGCGCCTGTCCTGAGCCGTCGGGGCGGCCCTGGCTGATAATGCCCTGAGTGTTCGAGACCTCGTGTCGGCTGAAGAGCCCTTTTTTGTTTTTTTGGCTTCTCGTGCTGCCAGAGGACATTGTCCCCCAGTACAGCCCCTCCCGACAATGAGTCCATCGGGTCTGGGCAGCCCTCTCAAAACCACCGGGCCCAAAACTGCTGCGGTGAAGAGATTTCAGTCCCTGCGGCACGGAGGGACCCCGCAGCGCCACGGCCCCCGTCTTCCCCTGCAGGGTTTGGCCCCAGGTCCCTTCTCAGGGAGGGACGTCGCAGGTTTGGGTTGTCACACATGAGCCACCCCCTTTCAGTAGGTGACACCCTGCAGCGAAGGGATGGGTCACATCCAGCTCCCTGCGGAGTCACCCAGCCAAGCTGCACCCCATGGCCTCGGGGATCCCCAAAACCACAGCAGCTCAACTCCCCGGAGGGATCAGCATCCTCCACCGGGCCCCCTGTTGGCATTTTCCCTGTGCTGGGCACTGGAGGGGCTGAGCTGAGGCTGGGTCTATTTAGGAGGGGGACACGGGATCCTCTTGGCTCACGGTGTCAGCGGGGAGAGGAGGAGGAGGAGGAGGAGGAGGCAGAAATAGCCCAGCTAAAAGCTGAGCACTGGCGAAAGGACTTGGCACTGGCTGCACACAGGGAGCAGGGAGGAAAAGGGAGGAAAAAAAAATCCCTAAAGCCTCAAAGGAATGTTGATCCCAGGCAAAGCCCAGGGGAGAGGGTGAGGGGTGCTCTCAGCCTTTCAGGGGCATGGATCCAGCCTGTGCTCCCCCAAAAAAGGGTGTTTTGGGGCTCAGTGGTGGCCGGGGCAGGGAGATTCACAGGTCTGCTGGGTGGCATTGGGGTTTTCTTTGCTGTCCTGCTGCCGTTCCACCGACACCGCATCAGTTCGGGGGCCGTGGTGATGGCCCAGTGCTCACAGGGGCTGTGGTGGGGAGCGGGGGGCAGGAGGACTGCATGAGGTGCCCCCCACCCCTTGGTTCGAAGCAGCCCTTCTCCCAGCCCTGGCAAAGATGCCGGCTTTGGGTGTCTCCCTCCTATTTCTAGCTCGACGTCTGGCTTCAGACACAAAGCCGAGATATTTTTGCCATGCAGCATCAGGACCAAACACCTCCAGACTCAGCAACGCCACAAAAAAAAAAAAAAATCCATTTTTTTTTTGCACTAAACCTCCCTATGTTTGACCTGCAGCGTTCTCCAACAACCCAAGGTTCAGAGGTACTGCAGCACCTCATTTCTTTGCATGCAGGTAAAAAAGAAACCCTTCACGAGCACCTTGGAGGCTGAAAATGATCTGTTACCCCCCCAAATCCTGATCTGGAGGCTTCAGGAGTGAACTGAGAATCGCTGCGGGAAATCTCCCATCCTCCATAGGTTTAATATATCCCTGTCCTGGGGGTCCAGCACGCAGGATCCCCTCCTGCGCGTCTGCGTCGGCTGTCCTCCCCTCCCAGGCGCGGGTGGGAGCCGCTGACTCATCTGCCCATCGTCGTCCTCCCCCCCCCCCGACGAAGGGGAATTCATCGAGCGGCTTCGAGGGGCTGCATTGCAGACCCAGACGCGCCAGCAGACAAAAGCGACGCTGCGACGCCCGCGGCTTCCCAGCACAAAGAGCCCGGCCGGCACCGAGTCCGTCCATCCCTCTGTCCATCCTCGCCAGGTAAGGGATGGTGGGATGTGGGTGGAGGGGGATGAAGAGCAAGAAGATGCTTTGTTTTTGGAAGAGATTTGGGTGGATGGGGGTGTTGGCACCCTGGGATTTTTTTTTTTTTTGGGGGGGGGGGATGTGATCAACAACCAGCCAGGATTAACCAGACGAAGGTGGTTTTGCCCCCAAGGGACAAGCAGACCACACTCATTCCTGGGGAGATGCTCTTTCTTGGGGGTGACAGGCATCAGGGAGGGTTTTTTTCCCCTCATATTGATTGCCTTTTCTGGAGATTTTAGATTTTTATCCCTTGTCACTAAACCCCCTTTTCCCCCTCTTTGAAGCTTTAAAACCCATTGTCCACAACATCCATCACCTTTAAATCATTCACTGCTGTTGTGCAGAAAGATATCCAGGGATATATCCCCGGGGAGGAGGCTATTTCAAAGCACCGTGGCTCGATTTACCCAGGGGTGACACAGGAGCCTTTCATAGCCTCTGAGCTACATCGGGAACCTTAAATTTAGCAGCCGGTCACCCCGCATCGCACGGACGGGGAGCGAGGGAGGGCGTGATTTGAGGTATGTCTGAATCATCCTTTAGGATTCCCATTCCCAGGCTTAAAACAGCGGAATCAGTAGGAAAAGAAGGATATTTTGGGTCGGCTGGTTGATTTTTTTTTTTTTTTTCCCCCACCTCTGTTGCCAAATGCGGGGAGGTGAATGACATAATTCTGCCAGGGAAAAGCAAGTCAGCACAGCAGTGACTCAGCTCAGGCCATGCCGTGCCGGAGAAAATGCTGAACCACGGCTGCTCCTGCTCTTTCCCAATTCTCTGTGGATTGGGGTGGGGTTGCGGGAGGGGCTCTGCGGCACAGCACGGCGGGGCGGCATGGCATGGCGTGGCAGGATGGCACAGCACAGTGGCATGGCAGGCTGGGGTGACATGGCACAGTGGGGTGGCACGGCAGGGCGACACGGCATGGTTGGGATGGCACGGCACAGCAGGGTGACACGGCATGGTTGGGATGGCATGGCACAGCGGGGTGCGTGGGCTGCAATGGCAACACCAAGCAATGCTTCTTCCAGTCCCTTCTAGAGGGTTCGGTCACGGTCCCCTGGGGCAACGCGATGCCACGCAGGCCGGGGAGGGTGGGGCTGGCATGGGCTCTGTGGGCAGTGGGGGGATGCACAGGGACCCCTCCTCACTGCCTGCTCCATGGGGGGCTTGGCACAGGGAAAGCACGAGACCCTTTTGCACTGTTTGGTGGAAAAAGGGTTCACTTGGATCCGGTTTCTGTCCCTCCTGGCAGAGAGGGATGTGGGGGACAGACTGCCCCTGCTCCCCCTCCACTGATTCCCCCTCACAGGCATCGAGGTGCCCAGGATAGATGCCGGGAGATGCGGTTGGGAGGGGGCTCACTCCCGCCCTGGCCTTCCTTCCCACGCTCCCCTTTGTGTGGATGGGGAAACTGAGGCACAGAGTGATGAGTCCCATTGCACGCCCCTCCAAAATACAGCTCAGAGAAGGGCTGTGACCAAGGCCATGGACCAAGGCCAAGACCTCAGCAGCAGGGCTCAAGTCTGCACTTAGTCCCAGCCTAGAGTCAAACCTCCATGGCACCACACTCTCCTGCCCCATCAATATTTTTTTTTTGGGGGGGGGGGGGGTATCCTGTGGGATTTGGTCAATAAGGCAATACCTGAGAGTTTCTGCTGCTTTGGGGCAAATCCTGTCCCTTTGGTAGAGCTTTTCTCCTTTTCTTCTCTTCTCTCCCCTCACTCCCTTCACCTTCACAGCCCGAAAATGCTGGACACCATCAGCAGCCAGTACGATTCCTTCATCTACTGGAGGATGCCGATCCCACGGCTGGATGTGGCAGAGCTGGAGGGGCTGGGGCTCAGCGACATGGCCCTCTACAAACCCAAAGGAGGGCTGGGCAAGCTCGTCGGCGAGCGGGATCGGGACAGCCAGGACATCTCCGAAGAAGAGGACAATCTGCTGCAGTTCAATAGCTTTAATTTCTGGAGAGCCCCTATCGCCAGAATTAGCTCATTAGATTTCGATCTAATTTGAAGTCCTTCTCTCTGCTCTTCTTCACCCCCTCTGCCCTCTCCCTCTCTGCTAGGCATGCCAAGATTTGGTTTTATTGTCCGTTTGGAGGTTGTTTTTTGTGTTTCTGGGCAGTTCTTGACATCACTAATTAACTCAGCAGTTCACCCTGGCCCTGATGGTGATGGGCTCCCCACAAAGCTTCACCCTCTCTCTACCTTCCCCCTCTTTTCTTCCCTTCTTGAGTCAGTGCTGGAAATACCATGACGGTGCAAGCAGGGGGTAACAGCACAGGGGGCAAATAGGAGGGGAGAGGGCAGAAGCAGACAACCCATTGCCCCACGTCTGCAATGCCAGCAGGTGCGGGAGGTGCTGGGGGCTCCTGCCACCCCCCCGCATCCTGTGGCTGTGTGACCATGGGCATCCCCGTGCTCTGGGACGAGCGGTTCAGCTCATTTCTCGTGTGCTTTTTTAAGAAACTCATTTGTGCAAAGAGAACGGCGCAGGACTGATGGGAATCGTCTTTGTTTTGCAGAAAGCACTGTCCCAGCTCTTCTCCCAGGGACGCAGAGACCCTCTGTGCTCCCCTGGCCCAGTTTCTCCAAAAGCCGCTTCGCTCCTTATTCCTCCCATCGGGAATGCAAGGTGTAAGAGGCAGGTTTGTGCTCGGATCCCGGGCACATTTCTTTCTTAAAAGAAATCATCTCTTTGAGCCTTGTGGCTTTGAGCCCAAGCAGGAGAAATGATGGCCAGGAGGGTAAATACACATGGAAATGCTCTGACTTTGCTTGGTGGGATCCAGGCTGGATGTTCAGGGCCAGAAATTTGATTTTTTTCTTCTTTTTTTATCCCCCATGTGCTTTATCCCAGGCATGACTCCTGAGTGGGACAGAGGTTGGGCGCATCGTGGGGTCCAGATGGGTAACGCAGGCTGAACTGAAAGAAAGATAAGATGGAGAATTTAGTTTGATCTTACCCCAAAATGAAAATGTTTCTGGTTCCCCACCCAATTAATCAATTGCTTTAAAAATAATAACCGAAGATGCTGCATGCACTCAAGTGGAAGCCTTGCATTTTTCTTGTGGAGGTTTTCACCTGTGCTCTCCGTGGGTTGAGGTTTATTTCTGAGCATCATCTCAAAATGGGGGAAAAAATATCCCAACCCCAATCATTTTTGGCTTGTAAACATGTATTTTTTGCCAAAGTTGTTTTCTGGGAGAGGGAACACAACTGGTTTGTCTTCTTCAATGTACTTTTTTTTAGGTTTAATTGGGGTGAAGTTGTGATGTGGAACATCCTGAAACTGTCCTGAGAGGTGGGGGGGGCACATGGCCAGGGGAAGGCTGAAGCAGCATTTAAAAAGCACCCCAAAAAAAGAAGGAAATATTGGAAAAAATCTACACTCTATTATGACAAAGGAGCACAGCTCTCCTGCAACATCCAGAAATGACCCAGCCTGCTGACTTTGAACCACCTGTGTAAAACTAGAGGTGAAAAATGTAAACTCGCCAATGCAGAGCTGTTTGATTTCTGTGTTCCCAGCTGGGAAAACACGCAGAAGTATTTATTATGAAACTCTAAATAAAATGATTTAAAACCATACACATTCCTGTGGACACTTTAAAAATCCATGTAGACCAGCATCAAGTTCTTTCCACAATTTGCCATTAAATTATTTTAAATCTTTTTATGGTGAGCTGAGAACTGACATGATAACATGTACCCACACGTCTCTGCAAGTGCTGTGGATGATTTAAGTGTGGAAAAAGTAAGCCTAGGATTATTTAAATTTAAAAACATTGATATTATTTAAACTTCAGCTTTTCGAAACCCCACAGGAAAACGTCCCAGAGAAGAGAGAGGCCCCAGGGTTTCACATTTACCTCACAACTGACACTCTTAAACATATTAGGGGCGCCGGAGGCAGTAGCGCACCACAGAGAGGGGGGCTTTGGAACCCTTTCTTCAAGGGAACCCACTCCTTAACAGGAAGGCGCTGAGACTTTACCTACATATACATATATATATAAATATATACATTTGTTTATAAACATACACCTACCAAAAGCTCTACCAAGCACAAAACCCGCCTGAGGGCGGAGCCGCCACCCTTTTATACTTGGCGCCTAAAGGCTTCTGCCGGAACTAACTGCAGGGACGCATCACCTTCCTCCGCAACAACCTGCACAGCGAACCTTACTGATATTCTTCCGCTAGAGAAAAATACTCCCCCCTTTAGGGCCCCCCCGTTGCTCGCCGCCCTCCTCCAGGCCCCCGGGAGGAGACGGAACCAAGGGAAAGGATGAGAAATTCCCTAATCCCGCCCCGTGCCCCCTGCGACAGAGAGAGAGCAGCTCCAACCCGCCCTTCCTCCGCCGTCACCAACGGACTCTTTGCTGTATCCTTCCGCTGCCACCGCCTGACTTCGCTTCCGGGTCGGCCATTTTGTGTGGCCGCGGCGGGAGGGGCGGGAACAGCCGCGAAGAGGGGATGAGGGGGGCGGTGCCGCGCGCCGGGAACAGCCGCGTGCCTGGGGGGGGGCCCGAGCCGCCGCGTGAGTGGGGCCGGGGGGCGGCGGGGAACCCCCCCGTGAGGGAAAGGGACCCCCCCCCCCCATGAGGGAAGGGGTGGAGGTCTGAGGAGGGGGGACCCCTGTGGGGGAGGGAACGGGGTCTGTGTGTGTCGGGGGGTGGGGGTGTGTTTTGGGGGGTCCCGTCGGGGTGTTCGTATGGGGGCGGCACGGGGGGGGGGGGGGGCTACCCCGGGGGAGCCGGAGGGGGGTCCTCGACCAGGGGAGGGGAAAGGGGCACCTGTGTCCTGCAGGGAGGGGGGCCCGGGAGGGGTTTGGGGGGGCCCGGGAGGGGTTTGGGGGGGCCCGGGAGGCAGGGCTGCAGGGCTGACCCCCCCCCCCCCGCCGGCTGTGCAGAGGGAAGTTCAGGGGTTTGGGGAAGCGTGAACTTCCCTTTTCCTTCTGAAATGCGGCGAAGGGGGGCTGGAGGAGTTTGTCAACAGCAGCCCCAGCTGCGAATACTGTAAATAATTAAAAAAAAAAAAAAAAAAGAGAGGGAGCCGCAGACTTAAATCCTCCCTGAAATTATCCAGCTGGGAAGAGAGCGGGAATGCAAGGCCTCCAAATAATTAATTAGTGACAAAGGTTCCGTTTAACACCAGGAGAGAAACTAATGGTTTTTGTTAATGATCCAGCTTCTTTCTTTTCTAAACACACACAAGTATGTAAGCTGGTGGTTAACTTTGCGAATGCAGAATTCGGTGCAACAACTCAGGCCCGGAAAGCATGCAAGTGTTTTCAGCGTGGGCGATGAGAAGGAACATTTAAAAAATATTCTCTGTCTCACCAGAATTGAGAAAAGGGGGAAAAAAAAAACCCTAAACTGGAAAGTCCTAAAGGGCAGAGGGGTTGTGGTAGTCAACACATGCCTCGTAAATGCGTCGGAGGCCCTGATTGCAGAGTCAACTCTTGAGTAACTGCTCTGGGCTCTTGACTTCCAAGCCTCAGGTGTCACACGTAATAACTGCACGCTCAGAAAAAGCTACACACGGAAAATAGCCGTATAAATTGAGATGTGTGTGTGGAGGGAGGTGATGTGGGCAGTGTATCCCGGTGAGAGTAAGGGGTGAGGTTTGCAGTTCAGCTTTACTTTCAAGGGCTTGTGCTGGTCCTGCTGGTCACTGAGGACAGGGTGGGATGTTTCTCTTGAAAGAGCAAGAAATAAGAAAGACAGAAATAGAGCTTCCAGCTATTTCATAGAACTGTAATTGAAGGAGGAAAATCGGTCGAGGGCCTCGGTGCTGTTGGGGTGGCCGTTAGGCTGGGTGGCACGGTGCCCGTTTGCGCAGACGTTGGTTTGTAGCCGCTTTACTGAACGTGGTACCTGAGTTAATGGGTAGATGTTAAAGTCAGCCTTTGGTAGGACTGGGGTACCAGCGTAACCCTGTCGTTGAGAAAAATGCTGTAGTTCACTATTGCTGCAATTATGCTGTGTTTTATGTAGCTTGGAATAAATAAAGACGCAGTTATCCGGTACATTGAGCACAGCTTTTGGGTTCAGCTCCTTTCATGACCTTGAACGAGTCACTGGAGTTACCAAGGTTTGTTTTATTCTCTGCCAGCAGAGAACAGGGAGAGTTCCCCCATGCTTAGTTGCTAGCGCTGGGGTCAGCGAGAGTGTCTGGGAGATTAAATCGTGTTCTTAAAGCGCTTTAAAAATCGAAATGACATTGTGTACAGGGTGTGAACAGCTTCGCTGTTGCTTTTCTAGGTTCTGCTCTTGCAACTGGATCCACATGGGCAAGTCTTCATGTCTGTGCAAGGCGCTGTTGAGGTAAACGGGATTTTTCAGGAGCTTGGGTGACTTGTGGTGTGTGCCCCGTTTGCTGAGCCTGTGTGCTGCCTTTGCTTGACGTTTTCGGGCATGAAACTGGAAAATGTGATAAATATTTATGCCCGTTTACCGATCATGTTGGGCCTGGTTCTGTACGGGAAGATGGCGTGTCCAGATGGGCTGTAGTTAGACAGCACTTTTAAAAATGTCTCAGCCTCACTGCTCTTTGTTTTTTTTTCCCATTTCTTGCCTCTAAAGCAGCTTTCAGCAAATACCTGCTCCCATGTATGAAGATGTCCTTAGTGGACCTAGGGAAGAGGTTGCTAGAAGCAGCTCGCAAAGGCGAAGATGACGAAGTGCGAAAGCTGATGGCGAGCGGTGCCCCCTTCACCACCGACTGGGTACGTCGGGGAGCGGACGCTGGTTTTCCACGCAGAGCGGGGGGTGCGTGTGCTTGAACCTAAAGGATGCAGATGGAAATCGGAGCGGTAAAACCAGAGTGTGGATTGGCAGAAAATGCATCTCTGGATTTCTGTGGTGGAGCAGATTCCAGATGAAGCACTTGGTAACCCAAAACATTCCCCAGGCAAAGATGAGTTGATGCTTCTGTAAAGATTGGTCTCCACCTAATGCGGGAGAGCAGAATCACAGGGACTGTGCTGTCCTGGACAGCAACATACACAGGCTTTGGTGCTTTAAGAAATGCAGTTTCCAGCAGCTAAGTGATGATGAGTCAAGTCAAATTGGAAAAACAGTTAAACCTCTCAGTAATAGGAAGTTCTCTTAAGAATGCTTTTTAAAATTGTTTGAATTTTCTCAGTCAAGAGACTCATTTTTGGGTTGTGTGTTGTTTTTTTTTTTTTTTGTTTCCTTAAAAAAACGAAACCCTGAAAACAAACCAGCATATACTGGGTTGGAAAGGAAATAGAAGCCTTAATGAAACTGAAGTTGGATAAACAGGGAACCAGAGTATAATGAACAAGCCATTGGTAGCTGTTTTCCATCACAACTATCTTCGTTTCCTAACTTGCCGGTCTGTTCATTCATAACTTCACGAGGTGAAGGAATGAACTGTATCGAGAGGAAGCAGAGCCTAGTGATATTGTAAAACTGCCCTTTTCTGAACAGTGGTGAAATTATCTGTCGCGATAGTGAAGTGGCAGAGCTGTTCTGCTGTGGTTTGAAAAAGAAGCAGAGTGATGCTCAGGGATAAGTAAGTGGCACAGTAGAGACAGTAAACTATGTTTGATCGTCAGATTATCTGATAATGTAAGGATCCCTAAAGAGTTGTTTGAGGTTTATCAGGAAAATTATTGGATGTGCAGCCCCCTATTTCTGAGTGGAGAAAAAAAAAGGTTAAATTAATTTCTTCCAGAAGCTTTGTCATTTTAACTACTGCCGGACATACACGTGGTGATTACTGTGGCTGTCCTCTCTCGCTGTGAGCAGACAGTGACCCTTCTAAATTAAATTAACATGCAGCTCGGGACGTCGCCGCTTCACCTGGCTGCCCAGTACGGCCACTATTCGACAGCAGAAGTGCTGCTCCGCGCTGGTGTCAGCAGAGATGCCCGAACAAAAGTGGACCGGACACCACTACACATGGCTGCGGCCGACGGGCACACTCACATTGTGGAACTGCTGATTAGGGTGAGGATGGCAAATCGGCTCTGACTTGAAGGCTGGTCTAAATCACCCTTGGAGTTCAGTGCTGATGTCTCTGTTTAAACGCGAGTGCAGGCACCGCCTTTAAGGAGCGTAAGACAAGTAATGCTTATTTCTTTCAGAACGGGGCTGATGTAAATGCCAAGGACATGCTGAAGATGACTGCTCTGCACTGGGCGACAGAGCACAACCACCGAGACGTCGTAGAGCTGCTCATCAAATACGGAGCTGATGTCCATGCTTTCAGCAAGTTTGATAAATCGGCTTTTGATATTGCTTTGGACAAGAACAATCCAGAGACTCTGGTAATGCTACAGGTGGGTCGAGGAGGGAGAAACTTGTTTGTAATTCTCTGCCCCACAACTGCATCTACGCTAGAGTGAGAGGGATCCTGTTGTGTCCGATGAGATCATTTTCTGTTTGCAGGGAGAACAGGAAATATGGAGGTGGGTGAGGTTTGGTTTATTTCTAGACCGACCAGTGTGTATCTGCTAGGACGCGGTGGGTGATGGGGTTCTCTTGCGATGGGGCTTTATTGCCACGCGTCTGGCAGGGTTGTAGCGTAAGTTGACAAGTTTAGGTGGCAGTTTTGTC